AAGAGACAAATAAGAGGATTTAAGTAAGGTAAAAGCTTTCTGAATGTCATCACTGAAACAAATAGGATATGATCCAGCTAAGATCTGAGACAGGCTCTGAATAGTTTTTTGCATGATTCCTTTACTAATGTATTTGATTCAACAAAGTTCAGGGGTGTTCTTCCTCTTTGTTTGGCGAAGCGAACAATTTATAGAAGAAATAAAGAAACAATTAATCTTGAACTTGCAGCTTTATTTCATTTCAATTATTCTGTTTCAAAATCTGACTTTTCCAGATATGAACAATTTCTTTATCCCTCTTTATTAATTTATACATATTTTAGTTTTTTTTTTATAGAATTAATTTTCAAAGAGACTATTACACCCTGTCACAATCACAAGACTTGTTTTACTTCATGGTAAATGTTTTGGCTCCATTTCTTATCAGATAGAGAAGACCAATGAAAGCTTCTAGGTTTATATGTGCAGTGGTGCATAATTATGCTTCCTCCTCATTCATGGGCTTCAAGGGCTTCTTTTTACTTCCTCCTAGATGGAGTAGGACTCTTCATCCCTCTACCTGGTGCTGCTTTTGGAGCAGCAGGGCTTGCAGCAGGGGGGGCAGGACTAGTTGCAGAGGGGGTAGTCTGGGTCTTGGGCTGAGGGATCTCGATGGGAAGTTTAGGAGGGATGATCGTTTTAGGGGTCAGAGCCGGTTTTGCTTCAGGGATTTTCTCCCCAGCACGATACACACTGACCTGAAGAGAAAAGCGGAAAAGCTAAGACCAACTGGAAAACATTTAAATCAATGTATTTTTTTAAACAGAAAACAGATTTTTAGTACTATATAAAGTACTTTCAAGCACTATGTCATAAAAGCAATAACCTTGAGGCTTTAGAGTCCTAATCAAAAATATACAACTATATTTTTATGCATTTCACTTTCAGGCAAAAAATGGCCACAGATGGTCAGAGAGATCTTACGGCTTTGAATAAATCCAGTCGTTTGTTGTGGAAAGCAGACACTCACCACTATATCCACGGATTCCCCTCCATATTTGTTCTGGACAATCATCGTATATCTTCCAGAATCCTCCATGGAAACACCTTTGATCGTCAGACTAGCAAACTTACCCTGGTCTATAGAGACCACATACTGAAAAAAAAGAGCAGAAAGAGAAATCAAAGGATTAAAAAGGGAGATGGGTAGCACATGAATTTAGGCATGATTTAACACTCAGAAGAACTCATATTTCATCATTTACTTCGAGCCATGAGAGTGATGTGCTTTAAAAGGTACGTTCTCTGTGCAAAGCCTGGGAATTTCTACTGTAGATGTGCTAAATAGGTACATAGACTGTTAGATTTTTGTTTCTTTTTTTTATTTGTTGTCCAACATCTCCTCTTCCTAACTTTTCTTCTTATTTTGCTCTTGGGATTAGAATAAAAATGTCAACCATTTAATACACCTATATTTGTTTTTTTTGTAAATTTTTATACTCTTTTCAACGTCTAAGCTAACAAGTTACATGAAAAGCTTGCCTTTGGGTTCGAAAAACATATCACAAAGGATCTCAGTTCTTGTTATAGTCAGATTATTAGCAGGGGCAAGAATGAAAGAAAGAGGAAAAAATTCCTCCTGGACTACGGATTCTCAAACTTAAATCTTCAAAGCTGTCAGCAGCCGCAGGATGCTGTTCAAAGACGGTGTACCTTCTCAGGACAGACTGTATAGACTAAGACTGCTTGGCAAGCATGGCTATAAGTTGTGGTAGATAGATTTCTCATTAATATGAAAAGCTTTTTCGAAATTGTTAAGTGACTCGGTAAGATTGAAAATTTTCATTGTTTTCATGTAGAAATTAATGACAGATTAAATGATTCTGATAGTTTCATTAGATCATGTTAAACTCATCTGAATACCTAAAATGAAAGTCTGTCTTCCACTGCTCAATTTAATTATTTTTCTTATTTTCCTGTAGTAAACCAGACATAAGACTTAAACAATTTAAATAAAATGATTTCCATGTATCTGTAATAATAATAATATATTTTTTATGTTGGTGATGATTGAATATGTCTTTATTCATAGTGGTAGAAATCAATTGATAAGCCCTAAGCTGCCTTGGTGAGCTGCTTGTCATTTTTAAAGTTTAATCTCAAGAGGTCCCTTTGCTAAATGAAGTATCGATAGGAAGCATCCAGCTTTCTCTTCTTACCTCCTTCCTTACTGCAAACACTTTTTAGACAGTTCTTATCATGGTAACTGTCAGTTTGGCTTAAGAGTCCAAACTCATTCTCTGTATTCGGATTAAGCCAGTTACTGTTATGCAGGGTTTGACTCTTAAGGTTCTCAGAGTCTTTGAGCAGACTCTGTACATACTGTGAGCAGTTAAGAGTCGGTGCACAGGTTTCGTTGTTGAGTGTAACTTATTCAACATTTCTCTTTGCAAATTCCTTCATTTCCACACTCCTTCATCATTGGACAGGTTTGACCATCAGACTGTTTAACTGTTGATCTCTGAACTTTAAATTGGACTTTGCATCAATCTTGCAACAATATTCTGCACCACCAACGTGGCTGAGACACTTTTATAATCCTTCTAAATAGGACACAACTCAGTATCTACTGCATTTAGCACCATATTTATTTTTCACCGTACTGAACCTTTCAGTATTAATTACCTTTTGGACCATTAACTTTTAAACTGGTTTCTTTTCTCCTATACTGTTTACATGTTGATCACAGCTGCACTTTATAATGGTAATGTTAATTTCACTGTTGTAAGCTGTAAGCAAAGAAATTTTGTTTTGTACACTCGGTGTATACAAAATGACAATAAAATTTGTCCAAGACTAAGTCCTTGTACGAACACATTTGAAATGTAGGCTCAAACTGAATAGAGCAAGCTAGCTTCTATCCTACCACCCCTTTCCGTCTATCCTCACACTTTTGTAATGCAATATCATAACGACCCTTCTAAGCTACAGCTCGCGACATGAAATGACGACTCTGATGTCTGTACCGGTTCAGAGCAGACCCTTAGCTCAGGTATAAAACCAAGAAGACCAAGGATTTTGGTCTCTTCTGCAGCCCTGTCATAGAGGCAGAGAGTGGCTGAGATGCTGCAGGTTCATGTGACTGCTTTGAGCAGTGTGTCGCTGGAAGCTATCATCTGGGGATCCTTGTCCACTTCGTGTCAGATTTAAAACAGCTCAGTATGAATACTCATTCCTGGCAAGAAGTGCTTTCCATCAAGTCTAGTGAGACACCGCATATGCAGTTGTAAAGATTAATCTTTTAGCCCATGTCCACTGGAGTATCTGAGGGCCTTAGAAGCCCCCGTAGCTTCCCTATAAATGTTAAAAAGCATGAAAAATTCATAAATTAGAATCAAGCTTTCAAAACATATAAATGATTTTGAAACACTTTGATGTCAAACACCTTTGCTTCTTAGTCTTACTTAAAGGGAGGACAGTAAATTCTGATTAAATAATGCATTTCCTTCCCCTTGAGAATTTTCTTTGTTTAAAAAGAACACCTTTTTCAAAGGAACCTGCCAAATGATCCTCAAGGGAGGTTATTTTGATGGGCTTAAACAAAATACCTGAAGGAGGGAGAAAACTACAAGACCAGGAGCTGTTGTTTGAAATGACTAAATTACTTCCTGTGTTTAAACACACTGTTGACAGACTCAGAGTTTGACACTAAGGAAAGTACTCTGGACAAAATGTTTTGACAGAGCTGAATAGAAATGCCTGACCACTAAAAATTTGCTGGTCAGAACTTGATAAAACTTTTTCCGTCACAAGTTATTATTTAGTGCTGTGTTGAATTATTTGGAGATAGTTTGTAAGGCTTCAAAGCTGCTGTTTGCAGCTGCTCCACTTACTCTTCTTTACTAGATGCATTTCAAAGGTAAATCTGTCCTGTATTGGTTCAATCAGTGCCTTATTTTTTTACACTGTGTTATATAGTTGGTCTGGTAAGCATTGGGGTTTTCTATCCATTCATAAAGCAACTAACCCTAACCCTTGAATATGGACAGGTACTGAAGTATATTTTTTTTTCTTCTTTCTGTTCTGTTTTTTTTCATGGGTGGGAAAAAAGAAAAATGCTTGCTTTTTGTGGTTTTTCTCATACTTTTGTTTGGAGAAAAAAAAAAGAAAGTATAAAATCACAACACCAATTGCTTTATCATGACATGAACAAAATAGGTAAATATGCATTGATGATTTTTTATCTTTCATTTAAAACGTCCCTATTTAAGCTTTTGTCTTTTGTTTTCAGCCATGCAAATTGGACTGTATATGATAAATTAGAAGGAAAATCAGTAAAAATCTAGACATCTGACTTATGGTGAAGGGATGTGCATTTTATCTACACAACACAGCCAAAAAGCATTAAACATATCTATCATCCTTTTTTGATAAATGTATACAAAACATCAGGTGCATCCTTCTGTAGATTCATGTTTGAAGGATTAAGACAAAGCAGGTCTGAGTTTGAAATTCAGAGCATACGAATTACAATCATATATCAAGTTTTTCCATTTAAATTATTTTTACATGTTATACACCTTCCACAAACACATGCAGCTTTGTACCAAATTCAGATGTTTTGAGACAGTTATGCAGTACCTCCTGTGCTGCTGAACTCTGACTATAAAGGATTCTGAGCAAGAGCACACTGGTCTCTGCTCATTGCTGGAAAACATTTAACTGTAGTCAAATACAGTATATTTCACCTTCTAATTATAGAGACATTTTTCATACCACCAGTAAAAGTGAAAGAAGCATCATGCAGCATTGTTTTTGCACATTGATTGGCCAAAACAAGGACCAAGGTGTTAGATAAATGCACAACCAGTGGTTGACTGCTTCCACAATTCTTTCATTAGGTTTATTAAGTCAAGCACATTACATGAAATATAATGGTTTGGTATTCTTGTTTGTCGAGCAGTAGATAATATACCTGGTCATCAGGTTCAACTTCTGTACCGTTCTTCAGCCAGGACACCTGAGGTTTGGGGTCTCCACAAACTGTACATGTCAAACTCAGGGTCTATGAAAGAAAAAGGGGTGATTTATTAGATGGAAATCCATATAGTTAACCAAGTGACCAGGGGCTTCATTTATAAAACATTACATTGGATAAATACTAAAAGTTTATGCTTCCCAAAAATCTGAAAATAACATATGGGGGAAAACATTATAATTTATAAACCCATGTGCATACTCTCCAGCATGATTTCCTTTAGAATTTACAGTTGTGCCTTTACATTTGAGTAACAGCTTCACCTCATGTTCTGTCCTCCACACACCCACATTTAAACATAAACTGGCCATATAAAGGAATTTGTTAATGTGTAATTAAAGGACCCAGCTGACCAATGTTATCTCATGGTTAACAATGGTAAGGAGATAAAAAATAAAAAAAAAACGTTCAACAAAGGAAGAAATGGGTTTGTTGATTAGTGAGGTGGAGAGGCGAAACAAAAAAGCGCTGTGATAACAGAAGGAACTTTAATGAACGGCAACATGAGTCTGATGTACAAACTGATCATGTTAACAATGCCATCCAACCCCAGGTTGAATCCCCTTAAGTGCTGACTGGGATATCTCAAACTTTTAGATGATTTCACACAAGTATTTTGCTCCCAAAAATACCTTCAGGCATTTGTTGACAGAGGGGTACATGAACATGAACCACTCAGACCACTGCTTCTCACCCTCTAACAACACAGAGGCCATCATGGTACAAAATGGCTTCCACAACATCTGGTTCACCTTTTGTCAAAAGATGATGAGGTTTGTTTAGATAGGTGATTTTATAAATAGTATGTTATTAGTTTGTCTATGATATATTTTACAGTATATAGGCTTAAGATAGCGAATATACCTGTTATTTGTTCCACATTTTCCTGATGTTTTATTGAGCTGCTTAGCATAGTGATATAAACAAACTAAGTAACTGTAGTCCTTTAGTTTGATAGCTAGATTGGAAGCATATACATTTCCCATGTACAAAGTCCAAGTCATGACTGTGGCATGAGGTTATTGGATGAGGGAGAGGAAAAGGGCAAGGAAGGAGGCAGAGAGGGCCACAGTGGACATGCAACCAGGGCCAGGCGAGGGAGAGGTTCTAGCAGGATGACCGGCAAGATTTGAAGCTTTCCAAAAGAGTCAGATTAGTTGTTTTAAATTTGTATTTCAGACTGGACAATATAGATTAAACTAAGCTACAGCTTTTTTATTCACAAAATTGAAATTGAAATAGAACTTGAAATATTTTACGTAAATATAACATCCAATAAAAGGGAATGAATGAGGAGTATATTGCGTCTCAGAATCTGCAGTATTTTTCCAGCTTCCTTTCCTCATCAATGTCACTTTCTGTGTTTTTCCTTAAACAAACTGTACTTCAAATGGACAGATTCTTTTTTGCTCTTAATTTTCCATCTGTTTTGTTGCAGCGTTTTCGTCATGTATATATTTAGAAGTAAAAAGACACATTTATATATGTTCAAATGAAGTGCAAAGTCCGGATAGAGTATAAACCTACTTGATTACAGTAAATAAGTCTTTATACTTAGCTACTAGACATCTCCGATTGTCGATTATGATTCACACCTGTGGGCTAAAGAGGAGGGCGCTGGTAAGAGCAGGTCCCCAGGAACCCAATACTGCTTAACAGCTGTAATGGGCTCTATGCACAACTAGTCTAATTCCTGAACTTAAGACAGCGCTTTTGTTTTCTGTCTTTTTTTTTTATGGCTTAACTGATCAATCCTGTGCCTGACCTCAATGACCATGCCCATACACATCTGGATTAATCAGTTCATCCAGTAATGGAGGACAGAAAATAGAAGATCTGCCTTAAGCTCAGGATGAACTGGTGAAGTTGTTCATAGAGACCATTGTGAATGATAGTATCAAAAGAATTGTTTTTGCGAAGTAATTAACACCATTTGGCTAATCAGTTTATTATATCTTAATCTTTCCTAATTTCTTAATTACTTAATTTATAGATAATTATATTGTATCTTTAATACAGACCCCAAATGTGTTTGTGTGTTACCCCCATTAAATATATATAACATTTTTGTAGACGTGTGATTTATAAATATATTTTAGGTCTTATATGACCATAGAGTGCTAGCTATCCTTATCTAACTGTGTCTCTCCAGAACTAAGCATCCATCTACCCTTCCCCTGTCATGATCTGGCCTGTTTGCTCTCCCTTAATTAGTCATTCCTTTCACCTGTCGTTTTTCCCTCCCTGCCTCAATTATAATTTATTCCTCTCACCTGTTTCCTCTGGTTTATATTCAGTTCAGCCTGAGCATTCAGTGCCAGATCATTGCTTGTCTTTTTGTTAGTCTGTCTGTTCACTTTGATTTGATGGTTCATGTCCTAGATCCTAGCTGCCAGTGAAAAGAGGGTTTTAGTGTTTGTCTCGTCTCCTGATCGTCCACTGTTCCTCCCCCACGGAGTCCTCTGGGTTTTTGGCTCATTATGGGGGGGGGTTCAGTTTTTATCAAAGTAAGCCTGGCTCCAGGGAGGAGACCAGTTTAAAGTCCTGCTTCAAGTTCCGGTTCCTACGTCCTGTCTCGGCTACCCTCTTCCACTTAGCCTGCCTGTCTGCACCTGATCCTGTCTGCTCCTGTGCGTGACCACCTGGTCATGCTTCTGGTCCCAGTCTGACTCTGAACCCTCCTGGAAGCCTGTGGATGCCTGGAAGTCTGGATCCTGCCACCTGTTTCTGTTCCTGCCTGATCTGGATCCTGCCTGTTCCTGCCTGTTTCTGCCTGTTCCTGCCTGTTTCTGTCCGTTCTGGATCCCTCACCAGGATCAGCTTCCAGCATCACCTCTGGGACTGCAGCACTGGGGACACTCGTGGTCTGGACTGTTAAACCAGGTAAGTGACCAACACAGATAATCTCCTATCAGTTTATCATGGTCACTTACCTGTGTTTCTCCCCCAGACTGTCTGAGATTGGGCAGTGCCCCGCCCCCCTGCCTGCAGTGTCCGCGAGCGACAGCTCCGCTTTTGTTTTGTTTTAATTTTAATAAACCTTTTGAACTTTCCTACTGACTGTCTCTCCTGAATACTGGGTCCACCTGTCCTCAGTTCATGACATCCCCTCCTTGGTCCCAGTCCAGCACATGGATCCAAAAGCACTGTCCTAGGCATTTTAATCTACTCATAAGCCCATCATCATCATGAGCCGGAAAATCATGGCGATCCCTGAAAAACACATCGCCTCCTAACTTGCCATGGTCTTCAAGCAGTGCAAATGCATTGGCCATACAGCATTACACATGAGCATCTCACCAGTTTACAGCAATCAGTATGATTGTTGTCACAATTTTTTAATTAATCTGTAGCACTCTCTTGATCTTCAGGGAGAAGCTGATTATTAGTGAAACTTTTAATTATTGTGCAGCTTTACAGTAGATTTAAGTTGGCTAATAGATTTTTTTTATTATCTTACAGATCCTTATGTATAGTAACAGCAGACTGGAGCATTTGTAAATAACACTTTGGTTTTTAATATGTCTGCAAGGTATTCTTTTTAGCATTATTGGTAAGAATTACTGAGATGACTACATTTTCCCGTCAAATTAGTTTTTCTTTTTTGCGTGGAAAGTAAACGGAACGTAAAAAGGTTTCAGGTCAGATTTTGTTCATGCACAACCTGTATAAAGAAGCCCCCAGCATTTAAACAAATACAGACACTCACCTTCTTTTCCATAATCGTGACAACGTCAGGCAGACCTCCCACAACCTTACCACGGTCTGAAACAAACCATGATTAACTTGAAAAATCTTTTTCTGTTTGAAAATCCAAAACAATTGTTTTAAAAAGCAATAGCAATAAGAGGACTGAACTCACTCTTTTCAGCATATGCCTCAGCCCTGAAATACAAATAAAATGAATTGTTAAAAGAAAAGATATATGAGCCTTACTTACAAATCTTCAAATATAAAAAGAAAGCCTCAGTTACCACAAAAATATATACACCAAATGTCTTCATCTCTATTTCTGGCTCCTTTTTTGAGAGCAGCCACGATCATTTCTATTTCTGATTAACTTGCAGTGGTCAGATGGTTTGTCAGAAAGAACTCTGTGTGCGCTGCCAAATCCTATTACACTGTTTAGAGGATTTCTAAACCTTTCACTTGGAGAAAAAATAGATCTGTTTGGTATGGGGCTGTCGAAGCAGCATGGCAGTACCAGAGGTCAGCTACCAGACCAGATGGCAGGAGGAACTCTGTTCTCTTGGCATGTTGGTGCTCAATCAAAAGGGCAGCAGGGTGTCACTTGTTTGAATGTGTTCAAAAAATCTGTTCATAAATGTCTTTCTTTGAATGTTAAGAAGACAAGGGATGTAGATGGTCTCCCCTCTGCATGCAGGGGGGCGCTTGGTCTTTTTCTAAGTGAATGTCCAAACACCCTGGTGTACTGTTTGCTCTGACTAATTTACAAAAAGGAACACATGGGATCCCAGTTTTGTGACTGCTTTTTTTTTTTTTCCTCGTTTTTACGGCTCATTTTATGGACAGTAGGCAGACAGGAAAGGGGGTATAAAAGAGGGGGAAAGACATGCAGGAAAGGAGCACAGGTCGGATTTGAACCCGGGTCGCCACGTCGAGGACTGAGGGCTCCATTCCTCTCCTGTGCGCCCACTGCTTCTTAGTATACAATCAGTTTTTATTTTAAACTACACTATCAGAAAGGGAGGTAACTGTTTATTGTTACAATCATTTTAATCCCTTTTATCATTATTATTATGACTACATCTCCTGAATCATTTCTTAGGGGAAGCTGTTCTAATGTGCTATAGCAACATTAATGTAATTTTTTTGTAATAGCTATATTTAAAGAACTGTCAAAGAAGAAGTGGATACCTGCTGTAAAATACCAGTGTAATAATAATTCTATAAGAGTCCTACAAAGTAAGCTACATATGCAAAAAGCTCATTTTGTTAAAGCATTTATATTACCTTTGCATTATAGGTCAACTCCCAAGTAAAATCCAGGAATAAAACTGAACCAGCAAATTTCTTGATCATATAATTCCTTCTACATAAATTCTTCTAAATGTTTCAGTGAAACGAACCAGTGACCCTTTTGGATTACAGTTATGTTAATAAGAGTTAAACTCCATTTCTGTTTGGGTTTTTTTGTAATTGGATTTATTAGTATGAGAAACAATCTTTTAAGCCAAATTTGAATGGAAACTGTTACTAAAGTGACAACAGCGGCATACAATACACAGCTTCAGCAAAAGAAGCGCCACTCGATTTAATCCTGTCGTTTCCATGTAAATCATTGTGTCCTTGGGAAAGACACTTCACTTCTCTAGTCATGGTGGTCAGAGGGACTGGTGGGGCATATATATGGCAGCCCTGCTTTGATCAGTGAGCCCGAGGGCAGCTGTGGCTGTAGCTTATCACTGTAGCTTATCACTATCAGTGTGTGAATGGGTGAGTTCATGGGTGAGACTTTGGAGTCTAATGACTTGAAAGGGTGCTTCATGAGTACAGGCCATTTACCATTTACATATTTCACATTAAAGCTTAGGCAAAGAACAGCTACCAGCGTGTTGTCTTACTTGAGCTTCTGGAACTCAGCATACGCCTTCTCATACACTGCAAAAGGCAAGAGCTGACAGTCAGTTCCACTATTCACTACAAAGATGTCTGCATGCGAACCAAAAAGGCAGTCTACATAAAATCAAGACACTTTTAGATTACTGCAATAAGCAAGGGATTAACCAGTACAAGAATAAGAAAAAAGTCCAGCATCTGTGATTATATGGTATTGTATGAACAGAGAAGTTCTGCAATAAACATATAGATCATGAATTCAGCCTGCTGCCGTTTTTGTGATGCAACTACAGAACAAAAATCTTTCAGTTCTAGCAGTAGGTTTCAGGTCCTAAAACAGAGACCTGACACTTACGTTTGAATTGTTGTATTTGATTGAAGTAGTACCTGAACAAATGTTCAAAGATACAAACTGATGCCTCAAAAGGCATACATATAAACTAATTATAATAAATGTGCTCTTTTCATTATTCTGGTATCTGAAATGGTAAAAGTTAAAAGGAAGGGTAGAAAGTCACTGACCATCACCACTGAGGTCCATGGCTCGCTTATAGGAGTTTTCAGAGTTGGTGATCACGATGGAGTAGGCTCCTTTATCCTTCTCCGTAGGCTCAATTACCTGTGAATCAGCGATTCTGTTCAACAGTGTCTATAGTACAATCTCATCTGCACAGTTTTTACAAATTCTTACTCTTAAAGGGAAACTAATCAATTGACTTTAGTTTACTGAATAAAATAAGGAAACATGTACAGCATTGTTTTTTTTTATGTCAATAGCTTTCACATTTATTGTTTTGCAAAATTATTATTTTTAAATTTGTCAAGGTACAGCCAGTTTTCAGTGTGATTCTATATCCTGATGTGATAGACCAAAAATAACCAGTGCAGAAATTTGAAGAGGAAGGATGAAGATGTCATTTATTTGTTTCCTAAAAACAACAATATAAAAAGTGTTGCATGCTCTAAATCAGCACAGTGTAAACCTATGTTTCTATAGAAATACAGGTTAAGAGCCTCTCAAGTCAGTATCATTTTCAGACATTTAGAGACTATTCTAAGTAATACTTCCTTACTGAAAAACTTAATCTCATGGAAGTAAAAAAAAAAGCTCACATTTTTGGTTTTATTTGAGTAGAGCACATTCTGTTAGTATTTGTGATGTGCCCACTTACTCACATACAAAACACAGACAGACAGAGACAACTATCAAAACGTTGTCAAAACAGGTAGGACTTGTGCATCAGCTGATGGGGTTCTTCCTCATTTTCATTCTTAACATTACACAGTAAATATGAAGTGGCTATTTGCAGCCGCTTTGGATGTTATCATTTACTTAAATGGACATTATTAGCGGTTAACAGTCAGACAGAATGGGTTCAGATTGTGCCTCCTACCTACTGTACTATTAGGCTCAGTAGGTTGTTATAACTGAATGAATCCTAATCCAAACTCTAAGGTAACTCCTTTTTTTCCATCGTAATCAATTAATCTTTTGATATGTAAAGTAAAGCTTTACATATCAGTTTTGAAAAATAGGTACATTGTAAATAAAGTAGATAAATATTATACAGTATGTAAATAGTAAATGACTTAAAGTTTTAGAGGCCACTGAAGCTAAGCTATCAGTGCTAAGCTGCATATTATTGGCCTTGAAAAACCTACTAGAAGGTAGAGGCACAGTCAGAAGCCAACTTATGGGACTGGTGCTGTTTGATTGTGCAGTTGTTTTCTATAATGCTGATATCACAAATCAATATCCTCGCACTGATATCAAGTTCTGTAAATACCTGTTAAAGAAGTCTGTGTAATGCTGCTAATGTGAGGACGGATAAAGTGGTGTATGTCTGTGATGGATTGTGAGGTGAAACTATAGCGATCATCAAGATAACTCAGAATATAAATGTTACACAGCCTGATGACCTTCTCCTTAGAATTATTTAATGCTATATGAATTATTGCTGCTCATTCTTTGATTGGATTCTCGCCAAAAGGACTTTTTATTTTTAACGCCCAATGTCTCTAACGGTCCTAGTGACTGATTTTTCTTTTTGTCTTTGGTGGCACAAAACTATGACAAAACTCTCCTTAGTATATCGGGAAATAGAACCATATGATTGGCTCTGAGGAGAGTGGAGACACAGGACACTTTATTGAAGAAAACCTGCTCCTTATCAGGTTAGCTCTGGGGAGAATGTTACTAAGATAAAAGAAGACTAGGTTGACTCAACTCTCATTGTTTAGAAAATTTAGAGTTTTCACTAAACCTGCTTTGTGAAATGGACCTCTGCTTACTAATTTTAATTTTGTTTAGTAATTTTCTCAAGTGACATTTTTGAGATCGTCAAATAAAAGCCACATCATATAAAATCTCAACAAAATGTTTTAAAGCTTGTGGTTATAAGACAAAAAAAAGGCAAAATATTTCTAAGACAATGCAAGTTGAAAGTGAGGCTATTCTCTGCGATGTTGTAAAATTATCAAACTATGATCATCTTTAGAATTACAAGTTCAAAACAGACCTGGATGCCATCATACCTCCATTGTTGCCATAGCTGGTGTTCCTCCAATCACAGTTTTATCACTGTGGGTGAGTTTATGCTCACTGAGGAAAAGAGTGGGGATGATGAATTAGTATGCATGTGTTTTCACATTTAACAATAGAATCATGCAATTTGAAATCAAAAATGAAAGCATTTTCTGATTGCACATTTTACATTTAATTACTCAAGAGGTAAAATTACTCAACAATTGTAAATAGTTAATTATTCCATTATTAAACTCTTAAATTTAAAAATGTATTTTCAAATCCTATTTCTAAATGGAGATCTTTAAAAACCAGAATTCATAAATCTGATTATAAATACCTTTCCTGATATCACATTTATAAAGATAATTCCTTTTTATTTTTTAAATTGCATTTTCAAATCCTTTTTTAAATTTTGATTTCTATTGGCCCTGCCCTAACATTTCTGTGACCCTTCTGTGACCCTTCCTTGAGCACATTGAAAACACAATTAAACCTATCACAGCTGCTCTTTTTCATAGTGTCATGATCCAACTGTGACTGTCTAACCAATGAGAAAGCTGTCTACATCCGATGAAGCATCGATGTTAAGGCTATAATCATATAGGTGAACACCCAGGAACTTATAGGTGTCTAGAAACAGGTGCAAGTTTTACTTATAAGAAAAGCCAGATCAATCTTTAGAACTAAAAAAGGAAATGTTTTAAAAGACAATCATATATTTATTCATAACTCAGTGATTTTTTTTTTTTTGCATCATATCATAATGTGATACAGTGAAACACTTGCTAATTGCCATAACAGGATTCTTTTGGGTTGCTGTTTCTTGCGATTCCTAAAAAGCTAAATGAAGACCTTTCTGGTCATCGTGTAAATGTATCCTGCTTCTTTCAAGCCAATATTCATACTTCTAAACAGCTTGTATTCTTAACGGACTTACAAATTAAATTTCTCACCTGTGATACCAGCTGATGTTCATCTCAGAGGTGTAATACTTCATGTGGCACTGGAGCTGAATGCCTGTTGCAGTGCACTTAACAACGAGTTCAGCAGCACTGGCACCTGAAGAAGGTGATAGTGCGTATTTGTTGTAAAAATGATGCTTTACGATCAGCTGCTGAACAGCATTGCTTTTGAGAGCAATTTCCATTTATGTTTACTCTAGCAAAAGTTTTTGGTATTTTCTTCAAGAGTCCCTTTTACAGTATACTTTACCTTTGTCCAGCTCTGATTGTGATAGTGCACTAATGAGGAGAGGGGCCCATTTATGATAGTAGATACTGCTGTACTTAGTGAACCACTGCAGCTATGAGAGGCTTTATTCACCTTTTTTAAAGCCATTACACACAAAAAGGCTCTTTCATAATGCACAACGTCTGTGTGCAACTTTGCCGGCTGCACATTACAAGTGGACAAGTGTGTCATCCGCCTGGTCACATCACCATGGTTTCCTATTATCACAGTAATGAACCCTCCTCTCCCCTGCAACCGTTGCTGTAACAGTTGTTGCAGAGCTGTCAAATGAATGTTGCTTAAAATAGGAGTATGATGCTCCTCTACAGTGTCACTGTGACAGTGTAGAGGAATTTTAAAGTGATTGCATCACACGTTGACATGATGGCCAAATGCCTTGTGCATGGCAACTTCTGCTACACGCTGATGAATGCAAATGTGTTTTCAGGAGAGTGTAGCATTTTAAATGCTGGCAAACTGTTAACCTGGTGATTAATCTGTCTAATGAGTTGTCACTGTGGTGTTAATTTTGCATGCTGAATAATCTAAGAGATGTTTACTTCTTTAATGCATGCTCATGAGATAACTAATTTAGGTGGCGTTCAGGTCTGAGGTAACGGGATTCAGATACCTACCAGCCAATTGGCTCAACTTGTTTATGGCCTCATCAAAAGCTAGAAGAGAAGTAGATGAACACAGAGTGAGGAAAAAATGGCATGGCAAAAAGAGACATTGCTGCCCTCTTGAGGATCATTAAAAACTTGGCTAAAAATTTCAGCCCCTTCTATAACTGTATATTAAAAATGATTACAGTTATAGGTATGTTATAGCCCTGATCTGTTTGCAATGTTACACAGATGTATGTACATTAAATATTGCCTCTCTTTAAGCAGTCTGTCTGGCTAATGCTTTCTGCAGGCCTCTTTATTACAATTATACACATTCTGAAAAAACTAAATCAGGGCACACATAGTAATTTACGCACAAATTAAGTATTAACGAGGCAAACAACACTTCATACTTTTTCCAGAGACGTCAATTTGGCTCATATCTTTGCCTCTGTCATCACTGATGGTGGCCTTGTACACTCCTGTTGTTTTCAGTGAAAACTGAAGGGGAAGCAAAAACATAAGTTAAGTTGGCAAAATCTGAACAAGCTGTAAGTAATTTATTACTAGGGAAGTAAAATTATTTCCATAAAAGATTTTGCAATGATTTAATGTTTATGTACAGATCTTATTTTGGATTAAAAGAATTACACAAAGTTTTAAAATAAAAAATAGGATTTCTAGATAACCTTACATGTGGGAACATAACCAACATGCAAGCATAATGTGAGTTATTGTATGTCACAATCAGTACTTCATTTAAATCAGCTCATAAGAACTACAAATGGGCCATTGTTAGACACTGTATCCACCACATGTCTGCAATCCTTAAAGTCAGTCAGAAGTTAATAATTTACTAGTCATACATACTGTACTTGTTTATCTATTTAAGGCACAATATTTATCTGTATGCGTTTTTGTAATTTTTTTCTATGAGTCCCAGTCTTTAATAACATTTCATAGATTTTTTTTTTTTTTATACCCAACTTCTTTGTTAGTTCTTGGTGATTTTTCCTTGTGATTACCTAGTTTCTTTTTTCAGCTTCCAAACTCCCTTCATTCCCCAGATGTCTGTCATCTCATAATTAACTCACCTGTCTAGCATTCCAGTAATTAGACTCCTTAGTAAAAATACTCCAAGATTATATCATTTAACTTTCCCTCCAGCTCCCTCTCGTTCTCTGAGGCACTTCCATTTAATATTTTAGTTTTGTTTGTTTGTTTAACCTTCTGCCCAAATTTAACTTAATATTGCCAGTTGTACAGCATGACATATATCCCCTTTTGTAAAGCAAATGCCCCACTGACTCCAGATGTGCCATAATGTTAACATTACCTGTCATGAAAGGACAAAAAAGACCTGTAACATTAATAAAAAGCAATTAAAAAGCGCCTAGAGGAGTGAGCTATTTACTTATAAGGCCTAAGCAAGTATTAAGTAAGATGATGTTATTTCATCCAAATTCCTTTCTTTCAACAGATTTGATGTGTCCTTGACACTTCGTATAATAATGTGTTTTTTGCCAAGAAAAAAGTAGAAACAGTCTTTACTCTTAACCTTTAACGGGTTCACCTTTGTGGAGGAGAAGTTAATGCACAATGAACAAATATCATTGCTTAGCAGATCACCATACAGTTCAAAAAATGACCCGTTGTTGCCATAAGATAAAAGTTGCTCTTTGTGGATTTTGAAATGATAATTAAAAAAAATAGCCCAGCTTTTTACAGGATTGTGGTGCAATACTTCAAATCTATTAATCTATTCAAATCTATTATATTATCCTACCTTTTCTTTCAAATGACAAATATCCATACAAGAAATGTTGGGTTATTTATTTCTACCTTGAGATTTTTAGTACACATATATTTTGGGGGGATTTCTTTTGCTGATCTAATGTTAGACAAATAGTTGTAAAAACTGGTTAAAATCTGATCTTTTTTGACAAAGTTGTTATGGTATTTTACCATAATGACATTTATGAAATTATGTAACTGTATTAGGATAACTATAGTTTAGGTACTGCAGGAGAACAGAAATTACTCCTTTTTACCTCTTTAATTGGCAGTTTGCAGACTCCTGAGCTCAGGTCAGGCTTCACATCGGGGATAATTTCTGTGTCATCCTTATACCAGTGGAACTCCGATTCCTTCTTCAAATTAGCCACCTACAAAAAAAATAACATTCATATTGTTAATGTTTGTTTAATGACAAAAAAAAAAAAAAAATTGGGGGGCTTGTAGATCCCTCAACTCAAACCAAGCAAACCAAAAGCTGTTGTTTTCACCACATGCTACAAAAGGTGTCTAAAATTAGTCATTTGCCTTAATTGGAGCTAATTAATGTCATTTAGATTTATTTGTTTGGAAGCTCATTACAACATTGATATCAAACATGTAAGTGTTGCAATTGGTGCAATTTGGTCCAGCCCTATAAAATAGGTAATATTTGGCACAAAGGTTATTAAAAACTGCAACCGGTTTTCACGGATGACTGAAGTTTATGTTGTGAATGCAAAGATGGTTTCATACACATTTTTTAACCACATGTCTTAGATCTGGCCCCTGCTTATTTATGTCAAATATAAAAAAAATTAACTTTTAAGAATGAGTCAGATTGAAGTTCATAAATTGTTGGCAGTTTTTCTTTTTCCAGGATCAGTTCAGCTGCTTATAAGTTTTACTAAACAGTATCTTATCTAAATTTTAAAAAGTTTTAATCTAAAGCTGTCTTTGAATTAAACAGACAACCTTGATTTGCATAAATCTACAGCAGGATCCCCTTACACAGAGCAGAGCTGAGCTTCTTAAGTTTTCTACAACACAGTCCGTTTTTCAGTCCAGTAGCAGCTGTCAAATAAATCCCTTTCATGTTGGTGCACAGAACCCTTAAAGTGAACATACTTATTTTCCCAGTGGGTATAGTTACTATTTTTTATATGAGCAAAACAATATTTTTATTACTTTTCATAGAAAGAACAAATTTTCAAACAAAAGTTTGAAGAAATCTTTTTTATCAAATATTCTTTAAATGTTATTTATATGGAGTAATGATATACATAGTCAATCAAACAACTTACATTTCTAAATATGGTCTATGTTTACCTTGTAACGGCACTCAGCTTTTACACAAATCCTTCCGTGCAACATGTTTAAATAATCTTTCTTGTTGAAATACAAATCTTTTGGACAAAACTGACCTTCAGAATAAATAGATTTATTTTGTTTATTTTTTGTCTTGTTTTCACACTTAATATCCCAGATCACCAAACTAATTGTGATAAAAGAGCAAGATTCTCAAAGTAAATAAAAAGGAAAAAAAGGATTTTACAAACTATAACTATGTTAGTTGAGGGGAGCAAAAACCAAACAAGTAAAGAAAACCCTTAAATATAAAAAGTCTGACTACAGGTAGTTGGCTGAAATGTCACAAAAGCAAATACACTATTTCAAAGAGAAATGACAGAAAAAATCATTGAAATCTATCAGTTTTGAGAGGGGAACAAAGACACTTCTAAGGCATCACAACTCCTCAATTCCCAAGAAATAATGGAGAGCAAGTTCTAGCAGAACAATGTTAGAGATTTATGGTCAGGGGTGAAGAAGATTACAGGCTTCAAGCAGGAGGATCAGACAAATGGAAGTCTAGACAGAGCCAATGAACTGAACACATTCCTCAATAGTTTCAGTTCAGGAAAAAAACTCAGCATCTTTCTCTCCTGCCCAGAGTCAAATGGACATCTCACCCTCCTTTGACCCAAAGCTTCTCTGTCACGCCTCAAATATTTCATCTTCCACCTCTGCCATGGACCCTCATGCTTCTATGTGCTTCCTCTGAACCAAATCAGAAAATGTTGCCTCTAGTCAAAGGCTTCTCCAGCTAGAGTGCAAGACAGATCACTACAGAAGATCCTTATTCCCTACAGCTAGAAATGTACAAGCAAAACCCTATGACTAACAATAATATTTAATTTACCTTTGGGATCAAGACGGCCATTTTGAATTGAATTGGACTGAGCATTTCCATTAGTATGAGGCTTACCAAAATGACTTCAACGGCGCATTATCAATTTACCCAAGAAGTCCCCAAAAAAACCCAAACAACATTGAAAGCACAGGGGATCTAACTTTCCAAGATTAAGGCTCATGGTTTAACAATAAAAGAAAGGACAGTAATGGTAACCATGGCAGTGTCCCAATGTCAAAACCATTATGGAACAAAATGATATATGAGTCCATCTGATAGACTATTTATGGTGCTCAAGATTCTGGGGAAATAATTCTCACAGGACAAAAGTGGAAAATCTTGAAAGATGCAGATCTTTTTATATCTGGTGAACAACCAACACTGGAGTTTAGCATAGGAACATCCCACCATGAGCCCAATTTCACTGTGGTGGAGCCATGGTCTGGGTTACTTGCCTTTTTTCCCTTTCTTTCACACAGATAATCCTAAAAAAGAAATCTCACCTTTTGATTTGTGTCCTTAGACCTAAGTGAGCTCGGGGTATGCAGCAGGACAATGATCCAAAGCAAACCACCTAGCTCAAGGTATGTGAGTGGCCTAGTAAATTGGGGACTTAAATCTTATCTGGATGCATTTGTAGGACTTAAAAGATAATGTTCATTCTCAAAAACCATGCAGCGTGTTTGGATTAAAACATCTCTACAAAGAGTGAACCAAAAGTCCTCCAGATTGATGCAAACTACCAAGAATGGAACAACGAGTAAAGAGATTTAGAAGGAAATTGTTTTTTAAATAAACTTTGGTTGGGAATGCTTTTTTTCCGTTTTGTAAATATTGTTTTACAACTGTTTTCTCTGTTTCTTGATGAGAAAATTTAAGTGTGGCTATAAGTGTTAATTAATAAGAACTCAATTAGTGTAAAAGACTTTTCCACAGTACTGTGCTGTTGTCAACAGAGTTCAAGTGATCAATTACTGCACTTTATATGCTTATCTGTGACCTACATTCCACAGAATGGCTACTCAGCTAACCACAGGAAATTTAGCCATTTGTTTTGAGTGGAAATATTAAGTTATTATTACCTTGCAGACCAAAGTTACAGAGCAATCATCTCCGACCTGAAGTGAAAGGAACTCACTGAAGTGGGGGCCTGTGGTGGACAGAAACAAGACAAAACTGATCTGTAATCTGCATTTTGTAGAAGTACAGTCTTTAAATAAATCACATTTATCTTCCTTTTTTTGTGCTATCATTGTTCAACTACACTTAAAATGGTTGGCCATCTCTATCTTGTTTTCACTTACCTGATTCCCTCGAAGAAAATATTTGTGATGGATAAAACCTTCTGAATAAAAAGCTGGAAAAATAGATATTACTCTTTTCTTACCCTCTTTCACTCTAATGTACTCTCTTCTCTGGAAGTCCGCCTCAGCCAAAGCAGCCTTGAAAGCTGTTTTCACAAAAACATACATAAAATGAATTACATTAAAAAAGGTCCATGTACTGCCAACACTTGCAACAGATGTCATTGTTCAACATTGCAAAACAAATAGCCTCTTGTATCAGAGTTCAACCCTATCTCTGGATCTTATTATATTATTTGATCTCATTTTAGAACGTGTCCTCTCACTGCAATCAAGCATACCATATATAGAAAATGGTTACCTAAATGTGCCAGAGCGGTTTTGCACTAAAAAATACCACAGTTTTCTTAATAACTTTATTGAATCCAGGTTCAATACAGCATCAATAAGGCAGGCCATGTTGATACTAAAGTAACCTGTGTTAGAATGACCTTCAGCCATATAGGGTGTTTGTGTGTGCAAATAGATGGGCCTATGTTTAAATGGTGCTTGGGAGTGCCAGTTTGTCAATTATAGCTAAATATCTGTAACTGTGATGAGGACAGTACATATGTACAGGCCTCCACCATAAGTGCGCAACAATATTTTTAAGAAAAAGTATTTCAATAATTAATTTCTAAATGGTGACTTATCATAGGCTGGTAATATGCAAACAGATTTATAGGTGTTCATTTCAATAGCTATGGTTTAAAGCTTATGAAACCAAACATTCTAACATGTCAATCCAGTTAAAATATTTTCATGTAACTTTATATGTATTCCACAATTGGTTGGAAGCTGCATTTTTAGAAATTACTCCTATAAAGCAACAGGAACTGGAGGTCATCAGTGTGTTACAAGGAAGACCTTAGCCTTAAGTGTATAGAGGTGGAGCATTGTGCCCTTAATCCAAGGAATGACTTTTACACAGAGTGGAAAGCCACTAAACTTATCTGAAACAATAAAGTAACATCCCCATAAGGTTTGTCAGCAAAGAGAGCATGAAGTGCTCTAAAATATTCTGTTAGAAAGTTACAATCAAAGTGCAATTCAACAGATTGTAGAATATTATCCATGAATCTAGAATCCTACCTCCCTTGAATTTATTTACCTTTTTTGTTGCTGTTTTTTTTCTTCTTTTTTATGAACTTGCAGACAGTTAGCAACTATTTTGTCATTGTTCTTCTGAGCTCTGATATAAGCGCTTCTAATTATGTCTCTGGTCAAAGGTGGCTTGGAACATGGAATACAAGTTGCTTGTGCACATTTACCTATCACATTTCCTTTCCACTTCACTTTCCATAAGTATGCTGGGATACATTTCCAAAAGCCACATTTTCAAGCTTAACGTTTTACACTCTTTGTGGAGTGAGTCAGAGACACATAGATCTGCTGTGTGTCTGTGAGGTTAGCAGAGATCATCACATTGGGGATCATATCGTGGCTATACACCATCTCTGTATGACAATAAACCCTTCGATTGGTAATATGCAACACAATTCTCCATTGTTAAAAAT